CCGAGACCTTCGTCCATTAATATATAACGCAATTTCGTGTGCGGACGCTCGTTGCCCCGAGGGAGAAACCAATCGCCGAGAGACTTTGCCGAAACTACCGCGGCGTGGCGTCGCGGAACCACGCTGACCTTGACTTTGTTGCACGAAACATATCACGACGCCACGGGCGAGGAGATCCACACAGAAGAAAGATCCTTTCCGAAAACGAATCCCGATCGATGTTCAATCGTGGTGTCGAGTGACCGTTACATTCCCCCCTCCCCTCCCCGCCCTCGCAAATTCTCCTTGTCGGAATAATAACGGAAGATAAAACCACATCATCATCGAATGACACTTGAGGTCTCAGCGCGTTCGTCCTGCCTGTCGATTTTGACGGACTGAGAAGCCGGCGCGATTTTCGTTGTATCGCCCGCCTTTTTTCTTTTCTGTCCCTCCCTCTCTGTCTGCTGTCTGTCTCTCTTTCTCTTTCTCTCCTCCAGTACCAGACACATCCGCTGCGTGTCTCTGCGGAATTTATTGCGCGCCACTTGGCGAAACATCAAAGCCAGTCGTTGGATGGGTGTGCGTGCGACGACGCAGCCGAGACGCGGGAATTGTGTGAAGATGAAAGAATAGAATAATAACCGGCCACGGATAAATAACGTGAGAGAAACGAGAGAGAGTTGTGTAACGCTTACTCGTGCCTGACGCCCGATGATACTACCGCTCTGATTGGTACCTCTCTTTGCATACGACGACGGCTGTGTCTCACTTACCTACTTTCCCTTGGGGAATCGTTCGTCACGACAGCAGGAGGAAGAGGATCGCGATACGAGGCGGCGTCGGTTTGTGGTTCACAGTGAGCAACAACGGGTTGGAAGAGACGGATCGGATCGCGAGGGTGTGCTTGACACCGATCCGTGAGGAGGAAGTGATGGCACCGCGGCGTCACGCGAACGGCCACGCTGGTGTTGTACTAATGGAGAACGGAGGCGGAGGCGGCGGTGGCGGTGGAGGAGCCGGTGGCGGTGTCTTGAACGACACGATGGAGAACAACCTGCTAACACAGAATCAGACGACCCGTTGTTGCACGCCTACCGGCGAGTGCCTCCGGGGTGATGCTTTAATTCGCTTGAACGCTCTGCACGACGCGGTCAAGGTGACGTGCAACAACGAGAGCTGCCCGGTCGGCCAGTTCATGCATCGCGAGTGTTTCGACGCCTGGGAGCAAACGGTGCTCACCTACTTGAAGACGTGCGGACGGGCCCGTAGCTGGTCCGAGCGGCAACGCCATCAGAACCTCTGGACGAAAAAGGGTTACGATCTGGCGTTTAAGGCGTGCGGCTGCCGTTGCGGCCGCGGACACTTGAAGAAAGATCTCGATTGGATCCCACCGGGAAGCGGGAACGCCACCGGCAACAGACAGGACGAGAACGAGGCGAAGAAGAAGAAACGTCGCAATCGTCAGAACACCAGGCCAACGCTGGCCGTTTCCGCTGGACCGCCCAGCCATGGCAATCACGTTTCGGCGAACGGTCGCGGTGCAACCGAGGCGCAGTTGATCGAATCCAGCCGTGGAAGAGCTGGCTCGCTCTCGTCCAGCACCGGTTCCAGCTCACCACCGGCCACCAGCGAACCCAGCGTCAGCCCCCTTCATCAGCCTCAGGTCATCATGAAGAAGAAGAGCAAGATTGACTTCTTCAGCGATCGGGCCCGGTAAGTGTATCCTCCTCTCTTTTCTCTTTTATCACTCTCTACTTGCCCGTTTTTGCCGGTTTTTAGCGTTTATCAACTGTTCAGATACGTTGATCAACTTTCTCTCTCTTTTTTTTTTTTTTTTTTTTCCATGGATAAGTCGCTTGTTCTTCAGGAATTGAATATTTCAATTGTGCACACTTGCCTAAGAGACTTGATCGATTTCACTTGAAAAGTTGATTATTGTTCGTATCGAATATATATGTACGTATAAGTATATTTTTAAAAACGGCACGATTCAAGGGCGGAATGATTGTTTCAAAAAATTCACGAAAATATCGTCACTTACTACGCAAAATATTATTGTTTCTCGTAATATTCCTCTCATTTCGAGCCAAGATATGATACTTTTGAAATACGCGCGAGATATGTACGTTTCGTAACCGCGATACTCTGAAACTTTTCGTACTTCTATTCGAGATAATCGAACATTTCGAGTGTTATAGCACACGTATAAAGATCTCGGCGTACAATTTGTCACGTTGAGCGTCCCCCGAGTAGAAAATTAATTTCCTGCGCGATGCAAGACGAAGATACGCGAGCAGTTTCTTAAAGCGGTGACCCTGCAATTACGCGAATTTACGCGGTCGAGAGTAAACCGAGAGGAGGTTTTCCTTTAAATTCGTGGTGTACCGTAGATCGATTGTAGAAGGGCGGGGAAAAGAGTACACACATAGTTAGCTTGTTACAAACAATAATTGGCGTGGTAGTCACGACATACTCTGGATGGCTTCCTGTGAGGTCCACCGGGACAACGTGTAAGAATACAATTATCTCTTATCATAGCGGTCACGTCTCTCTCCCACGCAAGCAAGCTCCTCTGACCTTGCAGGTTTTCTTTTAGTGACGTCGATAAGAAGAACGTTTCTTTCGGCTCGCGGGCTTATTAATACACACACCTTCGAGGATAGTCAGCCATTATTCTCCTCTTCGCTTCGTTTTCATCCCACGCTATTAGCAATCCGATTAAATTGGCCGAGTGGCTACGATAGAGAACTCCAATACGTAATATTTATTATTACTTTGGCGGCGTGGCGTTTCCAACGAGCGAAAAAATTCCGGTGACCTTGAGACACTTGATCTGAATGTTGTATAATTAGGCTCTTCGATCTTTGGGAAAAGGAGTTACCAATCTTTGATTATTTTCTTTTTTTTTTTTT